GTATTGCGTTTGTAACTGGAAATAAAACAACCCAACTATTATAAAAGTGGAATAACACATAAGTGATTGATGACTACACATGACTGGTTGTCGTCGACTTTTGGCTGAGTAAATTGAAAACAATTAAAAATTATTGTAATGATGTTTTTCAGTGTTTATTTGTATTGGATAAAAATGTTTGGCACACAATTAAAAGCTGTAAAGTTTATAAAATAAAAATAAAAAGATAAACAAAAGCAAAAAGTTATTAATTAGAATTTTTATAATTATCATCGCTTTAGCATTTTCTTGTTTATGTTTTTGTGTATTTTTCAAATTAAAAATTCTGGCTTAGTAGAGTAAATTTCATAAAGGCACTTTGGTTGATTTATTAAATTAAAATCAAAATGTGATTGACAAAACTTAAATTATGTTTTGGCACAAGAAAAACAAAATTACCACATTTTAAAACTAAATTAGTCTGAAATTGAATAACGTACAATCAAAGTTCTGGCTAGCCAAAAAGCACTGTTCAAAAGAAAATTTTTTTGCACGGAGCACTGCACTCTGTTGCACTTTAACTACTGCAACAAAAATTCTCCAGAAAAAATTTCGTTTTGCCTAGTGTTGAAAAACTGTATTTCTTTGCCAATGGCAAAACAGAAGTCTAAACATAAAATACTAGCAGCGATACCAACCTTAATAGTGAATCAAGTTGAAGTGAGTCAAGTACCTAATCGCTTTATATTTTTGTCAACATACGCCGTCATCTGCACTTGACTACTACTGACGCTGAGCTACCGTCAGCAGTAGAACATTTGATTATCAGTAATCAACATGTTAACTTTGTCCATGTTGATGATTCGGAATAGGGGAGTTGAAATGAGATGATTGATCAAAGCCCCTTAGGGGTGGTCACCAGGAAAGAAAAAGGGGAGGAGATGGGCATGCAACTGCAGTTGCCAAATGAGAAAAAAGTTTAAGTATAAAGTCAATTAAGCTAGCGACGCCAATTATAAGCTTACAAAGGTCAAGGATCTTTTGACTGTTTTGACTAGAGAAAAGTTGTTGTGTTGAGTTCCTTATAAAAACTCTCTGTTGTACACTGACGCCCCCAACTTCCCTGGTTTAGCAAATTAGGAAACCGTTATCAACAACATCTTCAATGTCTAATCACAAGGTTTCTTCTTTACTTCACTTCAACTCAAGAGACGGAGCACTGAAGGTGACACATGCAGCAAGTTAAATGTTAGTGGTTTTTTCGGTAAATAAAATACCGCTAAAATAAAATGATTCAAAAACGTTGGCACCATCTATCGACACAGAGAAACAAAATCACATTTCCCGTATATCATTCCGTTCATTAGACAACTGATTAACCGATTATATTTTTTGTAGCTTTTGCATCTATTTCAACTTATTTTTGCAATCAATATTTATTTTTGTTCATTATAGTAATGAAGTTTTGTACATAAGTTGATAATGAAACACATTGTAACTACAGAAAGTACTCTCCAAAATAATGTTAGAAAAAATAAAATTACTTTAACACAAAAAAGAAGCAGGTAGGCACTTGCAGTAAAGGTCAAATCACATCAATCAGGTCATTCTTCCATTTCCTCCTCCTCATTCTCCACCTCTTCAACCTCCTCGATGTCCTGTTCCACCACTACGACCACGACCGGACGATCCAGCAGCTCCTTGACCGTGGCCATCAGACGATCAGCGTTCTCCACCACCTCCTTGTACACCGGCAGACGGAGCACCTCTGGCAGCTTGCGACTGGGCAGCCACTTGACGGTGGTCAGCTGACGGCCCATTCGAACGACGTCCTCCGCCCAGCCGGGCGGCTGGTAGCCCAGCTTCGCCTCCAGAGCCACCAGCATCTCACCTAGCTGCGCCAGCTTGCGGTCAGTGGCGCCGACCAGCTCGGCGGCCTCCAGTGACTTCTCCACGGTGAAGGCCTTCTCGACGTCCTCGCGCCGGGCGGCCGCCTTCGCCTTCGCCTCCGCCACCTTCAGGTGCTGGCGCTCTCGGTAGCGGGCCAGCGTGCGCGCCCCGATCAGCTGCCCGTTCAGTTCCTCCCAGAGACGGGCCGCCTCCTGGAGCGTCCCACTTACCATGCTGCCGCGCAGCAGCTGCGCCGCCAGCAGCTGCTTCGTCGGCGCCGCTGCCGTTGCGCGGCCAGCGCCTCGCAGGCGCCAGTTGATGCGCGCAAAGCGGTCCAGAAGGCGGTCAGCAGAGCGGAGCCACTTGGCGGACGGCGGCGGCAGCGAGCAGAAGGGCACCTCGTGCTTCAGGCGGCGAGACTCGGCGCGGAGGTAGTTGCCGGCGGCTTGCAGCTTCTCCAGGGCGGCGGAGATTTCGGCCATCAGCTGGTCCTCTTCGTCCGCGTCCTCGTCCTCCTCCTCGTCCTCGTCGTCGTCTTCATCATCATCGACGTCACTGCTGCTGCTGCTGCTACCGTCATTGCTAGAATCATCCGAGTCGCTTGAATCCTTGTTGTTTGAATTCTTGTTTCCTGAATCCTTGTTGCCTGGATTCTTGTCGCCTGAATCCTCGTCGCTTGAATCCTCTTCGCCACTGCTCGAATCGCTCAAGTTTTTTATGCGCTGTCCCCCTTTCTTCTTGTTCTTCGCCTTCTTCTTTTCAGCCAACGAGTCAACGGCGTGCGTCAGCATCCACTCTCCCGTCTCCAGCAGTCGACTGAGGACTCGAGAGCGAGTGGCCAGTTCCGGCGGCTTCATCTCTGCAAACTTGAGCACGTTCTCGCAGAAGGCCGCGTAGGCAGAGAACTGCGAGGCAGAAGTGGCGTTCTTGGGGGCGAGGCCCGGACGAGGAGAGCGGCGGTTCAGGCGCCAGTACGGCTCCNGAGCGAGTGGCCAGTTCCGGCGGCTTCATCTCTGCAAACTTGAGCACGTTTTCACAGAAGGCCGCGTAGGCAGAGAACTGCGAGGCAGAATTGGCGTCCTTGGGGGCGAGGCCCGGATGAGGGGAGCGGCGGTTCAGGCGCCAGTACGGCTCTAGGCGGTTGGCGATCTCCACCAGTCGGCGGACGGAAGGATGGCTGGAGTTTGCAGCTGTAATTGGAATTGGAATTGGAGTTGGAATTGGAGTTGGAGTTGGAGTTGGAGTTGGAGTTGGAGTTGGAGTTGGCTGGCTGGCAGGCTGTCCAGAACCAGGGGAAACGGTGGCATTTTTGGCGGCATTGGCTCGCTCAGCCGCGCTTTTAGCACGGGTGTACATGGTGATCGGCCCGATTTCTTTGCCCGAAACGTGCTGAATTGCTGTTGGGGTTGAAAGATAAAGAAGGAGATCAGTACCAAAATAAGAAGACAGCTAAATATCTCGGGCGACTTACCACTAAAGAGAAAGAGAGATGCTTTGCTAGTAGTGGGTAGTGGTAATTTGAGACAAAATGCAGAAGTTCTGGCGAAACGAGGCGCACTGGTGTGAGTGAGTGAGTGAGTGTTGCGGTGCGGTGCTGTGTGTGTTTTGCGGTGACGACGACGACGAAAGATGAGAAACTCAAACAGGCAACCAAACGACCAGAAGAAAACGGCTACGGGTGTTGTTGATAAGGATGCGGTGATAAACAGAGGTCACAGAAGGAGTGTTGCCCTGTTGATGGTGGAGTAGGGGAAGGGGTGTGGCACTGCTGTGACTCTATTTAGCAAAGCTAAACTAAAAATGACGTGTTGTTGAGGCAAGATGGTGACCATCACCGTTACCACCACCACTGTACAGCAACTGCTTTGCTGATGTCGATGTTGATATCGCTAGCTCGTCGAATATGAAGATTATTTTCTGGTCACTCGCACCCTAGTGCTGCTGATCTGTTTGAAGGTGTGTAAGGTGTTTGGCAGGGTCAGACGGTCAATGGCAAGAGACTGAGAAGTGACAAGTGAAGTTTCCACCACTTCTGGCGCTGTTTTAGTCGATGCCAGTGGCGTACAGTGTCGGCGGGCTCTCTCTCTCTCTCCCTCTCACAATGTGTACTGGTGACTGTGCAGGAAAGCGACTGACAAAACGCTTCTTTTCCCTCTCCTTTCTCTCTTCCCTCTTTTCCCTCTTGCTCGGGTCTCAACTTTCACCGTAACTGGGCAGTCACTGATTTAGATTTTCTGGCTGAACACTTTGCTGCTGCCTCTGTTGCTGGTCATTTGCGGCACACACTAAAAAATGTATGCGTCTGTGTTCCGCGTGCACCGTCCACTGTTTTGCCGAAAATGTCAAGCAAATCATGAGCAAAGTGTGATCATGTGCCTCAAAAAACTCATCTATTTCTGCTCTAGTGGACAGCATTGAATGAATTGCATAGCAAACTGAACTCCCGCCTGACGTCAAATAAAGCTTTTGCGTCAAATGTCAAACCGGTAGATAAAAATACAGTTTTAGTTGCAAAACTGTTAGTTTCCGGGTCAAACTCGATTTGACTAGTGAACTAAAAGCAAAAGCAGTGCTTGCTTTTTTTAAAAGGGCAGCGTTTTTAACTCAATAATTAAACTCAATTTATTTTCACGTATTTAAAATTTTATCTGTGTCCCAGATGGCGCTATTCGAAGCAAGTTGAAGCCATTTTGTTCTTCTTTAAACCAAACCAACAGGTTGCCACAGCAACAGCAGCGATGCGGTAGAGCGGAAACAGAAATCGCAAAAATGGCATTGCTTTTGGTCACCACGACAACGCCCACCACTACTACCACTGCCACTACCACCACTACCATCACCAGTACTACTAGCACCAGCACCAGTACCACTGTCACAAGCATCAGTGCCGCTAGCGCCAGTGGAGTAGGTTCCCTCATCTGCGAGCGTTCGGCGCTCAGTGAGCAGTGAAGTGCTAGTGTTTTTCCTTCGTTGTTGTGTTGTGTTCTGTGCTGTGCTCTGAGCTGTTTTTTGCCTCTATTTATTACCTGCATTTTTCCTTGTTCAGCATCATTCCTGCTCTGGTAGTGCCTTTTTTAGCAAACTCTACCACACACTAACTACTAAATTTTTTCCCTCAACTGTTAGCCACTATGGATCAGACCCCAAAGCAAACTGGAAGTAGGCGTGCTGTGCCCAACAAAACTCAAGCTGCCCCAACCGACAGTGAGGAGTACGAAGTGGAGAAGGTGCTCAGCAAAAAGGTGATCGACGGCACGGTGCAGTACCTGATCAAGTGGAAGGAAGAGGAGGGCGGCGAAAAGTGGGAGAACAGTTGGGAGCCGGTTGAAAATCTGGTAAACGCCCTTGCAAAGGTTCGCCTGTATGAGGAGGGCGAACTAGAGGCCAGGAAGAAGCAAGTGGCCTCTACCTCTTCTGCTGGTTCAGTTTCTGGCCAAACCAAGAGAAAGGCTTCGACCTCTGCTGGCCCTAGTGGCCAGACGAACCAGCAGAAGAAGACGAAGTGCGAGCAAAAGCGCATGGAGCTGATCAAAAGCAAGACTCTGGTGAAGAACGTCGTTGCCATCCATCGCAAGGAGGGTGACAAAGACGAGACAGAAAAAATCGTCGTCCACTTTGAAAATGAAATGATGATTTTCGTATGTAAAATGTTTAATGTTTTTTAAAAACTTGTGATCCATCGTTTTGTTTACCTTTAATTGTTTGATCTAAAACTTTTTTTCTCTATTACTTTGTTCACATACAGGTTTCATTTGATGAGCTGAAGCTGATGAGTGCTGCCAATATAAAGAAGGTCAAAGAGGAAATTAACACCTGGAACGAGTGTTTCGTTCAGAATCCAACTTGTGATGATGAGGATGATGATGATAGCGATAACGACGAGGATGGCGATGGCAAAGACGGTAGTGCTGGTGGTGCTGGCCCCAGTGGCACCAGCGCCAGCGCCAGCAGCTCACACCTGAGCAAGAAAGCCAAGCTTTCCTAAATATAATTCAAAGTTAATTGAATGAACCTGTGCTGTACCACTGATGTGTCTGGGCAGTTCTCTTTTATAACTCTTGACCGATTGGCCAAATAAAACATTTGAAAACAATTGTTTTTTCCAGTTTTGATGTTTACAAACTGACTCAAAAGATGTCGCCGTTATAGTTGAATTTTTAAACTTGAATTTAAACTCACAATTTTTAAAACATTAAAAAAGTTTGTAGCAGTTTTAGGCAGTTTATTTTTATTTTTTTATCATACTATTATAATTGCAAAAATTTTTAATTATCTATAAAAAATGAATTTTTTTAATTTTTGTTATTAACCATGCATAGTTTATTTTCTAATGAACACTCATTTGTTTTTCAAACTGAGTTTTTTAG